TAAATACGGACGCCATTTTGTTTTTGTCGTCGTTCCCTTTTTTCGAACAAAAACTAATAATTTATTAAACGGTTGCCTTTTTTTTTTTTTTTTTAATGAATTCAACTTTGACCTTTTCTCTTGTAATTTTCTCTTCCGTTTCTGCCCTTCTTTTTTTCACCTCATTTATTTAAAAAAAAAAATTCTTTTTTCGACAAGGCGCCGGATGTTATAAAAAGGTACAACACAGGTATCGATTTAATTTCCCCTCCTCCTATCGGACGCCATTTTGTTTTTCCCCCCCCCCGCCTTAATAACGAAATTAAATCATTTTATTTTTATTCACGATTTAAAACCCTAAAAAATATTAAATTTTTTATTTTTTATACGTCATGACAAAAAAACAATTATATAAGTAGAAGACGCAAAAAAAAAAAAAATGGCGCCGGTTCGTCGGGTTTTAAATTAAAAAAAAGATGCGACGATATTTCGCCATATTTGTATTTTTTCCCTCGTTTTTGAGATTTATTATTATTATTATTATTATGTAATTTTAACAATTGAAAAAATATCCGGTGCTTTTATATACTTTTAAATAAAATATATATATATAATAAATAATGGCAGCTGCAGGAAGTTGTTGTCGTTGTTGTTGTTGTTGTTGTTGTGTGGATACTTTTAAAAATTTTTTGCCAGACGTTTGTATGTTTGTTTGTCTCATTTTTTTTTTTCCGAAACGGATTTACCTTAATTTAAAAAAAAATTAAAATTATTTTCCCGTTTATAAATAAATAAATAAATAAAAAGTTTTTACTTTTTGATCCATGACATTGTGTTTTTCACTGACAACGTGGTTACAACAAAATTGATTGACGTGGCAGTAAAATTTTGACACGAAAAAATAATGAAATGAATTAAATATACGTTTACGAGTGACGGTTTTTTAGAAAAAGAGAGAGAGAGGGAAAATTTGGGAATTTAAATTTTTAAAAAAAAAAAAAAATCTCATTTAAAAAATTTTTTTTTATAAAGAATGAACCGCAGAAAGATGGATGGATTAGGATGAAATCACGAAGAGAAATAAAATAAAATAAAATAAAAAATGGAAGGTGAAGGAGGAGGAGGAACCATTTTTATGTCACAGGAAGCTGTTTATTATGAATGGCATTATTAGGGAGAAAAAATGGGTAGTATGGGACAAGGTGATCATCATCATCATCATCATCAGACTTTTTAAAAATAGATATTATATAAAAATTTACACGCCATTTTAATATTTGTGAAACATTTTTTATCTTTTTCTATTTCCCCCCTTCCCTACCTTCCTCTCTCTCTCTATCTTTCTTTCTCTTTCATATTTATCTTAATTTGGTTTTAATTAACTTTTTTCTTTTTTTTTTTTAAACCTGAAAACCTTTTCTGACGACAAAATCCGTCATTTTATATTAGACAAAATGGGCGTATGAAGGTTTCAATTTTATTTTTTTCATTTATATATCTTTATGTTTTTTGTCTTTTATTTTACTTTTTCATACAAAACATTTTATTGAGATGGAAAAAAAAAGAAATTTGCCGACGAATCCTCCCATCACCATCGCAAAAAAAAACAAATTAAAATCACATTTTTTTTTTTTACATCCATTTTGTAAAAATTCGTTAAAATTTTCTTTTTTCTTTTTTTTTTTAAATTATTTTAAAAAGATTACGTTTGTAATGTAAATTAATTATAAAAAAAAATTCTTTTTACGTTTAAATATTACCTTTTATCGTTAATAGATAACAATACGTAATTAAAATTCAATTTTATAAAAATTCGTTAAAATTATTTCATACGTGTTTTCAATAAATTATTTTAAAAAGATTACGTTTGTAATGTAAAATATCTATTAAAAAAATTCTTTTTAACGTGCAAATATTACCTTTCATCGTTAAAAGATAACAATACGTAATTAAAATTCGTACTATAGCACCGTCAAATTAATTTAATCGGGTGAGGCAGGACAGGGGTTGGAAAAATAAACAAAAAAAAATTTTCCACCGCCTTTTACTATCGATCGATATGCGTCGTTTCGAAAACAAAAACAATTTAAACGTATATCGATAGAAAAATTAAGGAAAAAGAGTTTTTGTTGTTTGTTTTTTTTTTCCCCCGCTTTTAATTTCAGGAAGTCCTTTTTTTTTAAATATTTTATTAATAAAAATAATAATAATAATAATAATAATAATAATAATAATAATAATAATAATTTTTTAAACTTATTACATCCGTGAAAAAGAAAAAATAAGGAAAGAAAAAACAAAAATTTTGCCTTCAAAGAGAGTCTCATATGATTGGTTTGATTATTCATTTTCGTTTGACTGACATATTTATAACAGATTTCCTTTTAATTTTTGTTTTTCAATACCGACCAAATGCTTGTTTATATAATTCTCTATTTTTTTTTTTTTTTCACTTTAAAATAAATTCAAAAACGTCATTCATTTTTACTACCCCCCCCCACACATATATATATATATATAAATTTTTAAATCCAAAATGAAAAAAAAAAAAAGTTTTAAACATTTCATAATATTAAAATCGTCCATTGCCAGCTAGAAATAAATTTAAATGTGAATAAAATAAAATTTAATTAACGTAATAAATATTACAGGGAATCAAAAAAAAAAAAAAAAATTATGTTAAAAAAAAAAAACTAATTTAAAAATTTTTTTTTTACTTCTCCCCCCCCTCTCTCTCTCTACCTTTTGATATTTTTGACAGTTTTCTCTTTTTTTCGGTTAAAAATTTCGACAGTTTTCTCTCATTTTTTTTTTTTTTTTTTATTTGGCAGTATTTTCTTTCTTCTTCTTTTCTTCTGTCAAAATGTTTCGTTGTTGCTAAACGATTAAAAAAAAAAAATTCATCGATCGAATACATAAATTGTTTAAATAAGGTTTTTTTTTTGTTTAAATAAAAAGTCAAAAAAGTTTAAAAAAAAAAAAAACAGAAACAAGGATTGGGTAGAAGATGAACATAACAACATGAAAACATTGACATTTATATAAATAAATAAGAAAATTAATTCTGGTTATTGTCAATTATTATTATTATTATTATTATGTTTAATAAATAAATAAATAAATTTAAAAAAAAAAAGAAACCAAAAGGGGGTAAAATTATAAAATATTATTTACGTTTTCTTTTTTTTTTTTTCTTAAAAATTTATACGATTAAAAACGCATTAAAAAAAATGGAAGCTATACACGTTTATATTATTATTATTATTACTGTTATTATTATTATTATTAATGAAATAAACATTAACGTCTAACAAACATACAATTTTTTATTATTATTTTTTTTTGAAACATTTGTTCAGGTTTTAAACTTAAAGGGTTATAAGATTCACAAACACACACACAAAAAAAAAGGTTTTTAGGGGGGAGGGGAGAGGAGGGGGGGGAAACGAACGTAAAATATACAAAAAAAAAAACCTTTTTTTTTTATTACGATATAAAAATTTAAAAATTGAAAAAAAAAAAAATTTCATCGTGAATTTATTTATCGTTTTAGCAAAAAAAAAAAAAAATTTTTTTTACACGCTCACGTTATTATTATTATTATTTAAATATTTTTATTTCTACTGCTTTTAAAAAAATAATTTTTTTTACTTTAATGTTTATTTAATAATTTTTTTTTTTTTAAAGACCCCATGCGAGGAAACAAAAAAAAAAAAAAAAATTTAATGTAACGTGAGAATTGAGGAAGGGTTCCCTTTCGGGTTCCCCAATAATTCCCCCCTCCATTGGCATCACACAAAAAAATTTTTTGGCTTCGCTTTGACAACAAACACATACAAACAAACAAACAGAAAAATTAACTCACGTATTTTAAAAAAAAAAAAAGGAACGTAGAAGAAAAAAGGTTTTCATTTAAGGTTAAATAAATTGTCCTCGACCTTAATCTCCTTTTTCCAAACTTACGCGTCATCGTACGTTTTTTAAATTTCCCGCTTTTTTTTCCCCGTTTGTTTACTCCTTTTGATACCTATGCGCTATGACGTCATCAACCGGGAATTAATACAATTGTAATACGTTAATGGGTAATAAATAAAATGGCGACGATTCCGTTTATTCGTTATTTACAAAAACCGTTAAAATTTAAATTCGTTAAATTAAAAATGTCGGAATCTTTTTTTTTTTTTTTTTTTAAAATCTTTTCAAGTGCGTGCGATTGCGTGCTAAGATGTTATTTCCGGTACTTCGATAATATCGTTGTTTCCTATTACCTCACCCCTCTCCCTCCATTCTTTTATTCAAAATTTTTCGTCATCCGTAATAATTCTCGCGTTTTGATTTCCGTCGGGAATATCCGCTTCCGTTTTTTTTTTTTTTTTTTTTTTTTTTTTTAACATCAAATTCTAGAAATTTCCATTTTTTATTTCAAATAAATAATAATTTAAGAATCTTTACGTAATGTTTTTTTTAAATAATAATAATAATAATTTCTTAATAGAGCATTAAATCTCCCCCTTTCTCCCCTTCCCCCCGCGTTTAATTTTTATTTATTATTTCGTAATAAATTAAAAGTAATAAATAATCGACCGGTAAGAGGAAAAACGTGGAAATGGGGGGGGGGGAGGGGGCGGAAAGAAAAATAAAGATTTCGGTCAAAAAAAAACCGTAAAAAACCCAAAATTTCGAAAATTTTTTTTTTTTTTTTTTTACACATTTCGACGTAAACGGGAAAATTTATTTGTTTTATTTTGTCTTTCTCTTATTTTGTCGCCACTCTGGAAAGAATCCAAAATTTTTTTTTACAAACACGCGCGATCGCAGCGCACTCACACGCTCAAAACTGGAATTTAAAAAAATTAATAAATTAAAGATTCTGGAAGGATATAGGACAAAAAAAAAAAAATAATGATGATGATATTTTGAAGGAAATAATTATACAAATTCTAGTAATGATAATAATAATATTGATAATAATAATAATTATAATTATAATAAAAAAATAAATATATATATGTGTGTGTATTTTATTTAGGTGACGAATAGGAATGTCCTCCTCCCCAATCTCCATCCATTCTCCAGACGCTAAATGCGTAACTAAGCCTTTCGTGTGCAACATAACTACAGCCCCCCAAATTATTATTACCAACTTTACTACTATAATTATTTTCTGTAAAAATAAAAAAAAAACCGTTAATTAATAAAATCCAAATCCAAAAAAAAATTCACGAAAAACAAAATAATAACGAACCGTTCGATGAATCTTCACCTTCGGAAACTCCAGAATTTCCATAATTAAGTACCTGATAAAGGAAATCTATGTACCTGGATGCTAATTTTAACGTTTGAATTTTTGATAATTTATCCGATGGCAAAGTCGGTATTATTTTTCTCAAACTCGTAAAAGCTTCGTTTAAACTTTGAGTTCTTTGACGTTCTCGAACGTTCGCCATGACTCTTTGATTTTGTAATTCTTCGTAACTTTGCGGTACTTTTCGCCTCGGTTTACCGTTATTTATTTTTCTACTGCTTCCGTTCGTCTCGCTATTATTATTATTATTATTATTTTGTTGTCCTCTAACTCTTTTCGTCGTTTCAAATTTAAATTTCGGATAATCGTCAGATATTTTCGAATCCGTAAAACATCGTTTTTTCTTTTTGTTTTTTATTAAATTATTATTACTATTATTACTATCATTATTATCATTATCATCATCATCACAATTATTAATCGGATTATTATTATCGTAATTAAACCTTAATTTTTCATCATTATTTTCCATTTTCCGATTATCCCCGTAGAAATCATCGTATTTCGACGAAGCGTATAATAATATATTCGAATCGTTCGATTGTAACGGTTTCGGTGATTTTTTTATTATTACGTCACTTCCTGTATTATCGGGTAGGTGGCGTGATGATTGCGACGTTGCCGATGATACCGATAATTTATAATAACTCTTATTACAATCGTTTTCGACGGCGGACGTTGATGACGTCGACGACGTCGATGATAATGATGATTCTGCCGTCGTAGTATTTGACGTATCGGTTATTATATTTTCACATTTTGTTATTATTATTTTATCATTTTCGACATATTTTGAATCGAATGTTTTCACGACGACATTTTCATCGTGTGATTTACCGATTATTTGATTAATATTATCGTAATTGATTTCCGTTATGTGTCCTCCTCCTCCTCCTCCCGGATTTGTTTCCTGTTTTTTTATTTGATAATTTTGATACATGTTTATCGGTGGAATGAATTTTGTTTCGTATTCCGTATTATCTAAAGGTGTCGCGGATTCGTGAAATTCGTTATAAACGTTAACCAATAACGGTTTTTTATCGGAATGTTCTATTTCACCGTAATAATCCGACATTTTACATTGTCCCGTATACATATTTAAATCTATCGGTTTTACATCTAAATCTCTTGTTTCCATTATTATTATTATTATTATTTTAAAATCACTTGATCTGTAAATAAAAAAAAAAAAATAATAAAAAGAAAAATTACGTGCGAATTATTTTCTGTGAAAAAATGTCAATTTTCACGGATATTATGCCGTAAAGGGGGCGTATGTGTTAAAACCCTACATTATTATTATTATTATTACTATTATTAACTCCCTTTATCGAATTTTAAGCTCCTTTTTTTTTAAATAAAAACTAAAATATAAACATAAATCATTTTTTTAATTTAATAAGTTCAAAAAGATTTATTTTTACCCTTAAAGTTAAAAATAAAAAAAATAAAAAAATGTCGAAAGCCCTAAAAAAAATATTTAAAATAAAATAAAATTAATAAATTAAAATAATTAATAATTTTTGTTAATTATCCCGCAATACATAAATCATTAAATAATATACATATATTTATTAATTAAAATTTTATTAATCGCGATCGATTTAATTTAAAAAAAAAATTTTTTTACGTAAATAATAATAATAATATTTTTTATACGATTTATATTTAAACGAAAAATTTACCCATAAATTACCGTTAAATTATTATTATTATTAATAAATTTTTTATTAACACGCGAGTGAAAATAAATAAATAAAACTTACAAAATTTTATTTTTTTTTAAGAATTAAATAAAAAAAAAGTAACCTTAATAACAATAATAATATATTTATGTATATATCCAATAATACTGACACATAATTCACAAAAGAAAAAAAAAATTTTTTTATAACGGTCATAAATCCGTTTTGATGAAAACTGAAGAACTGAAAATCCGTCAAACTCAGACAGGATGAATGTTAAAAAAAAAAAAAATTTATTTTTTTTTTTTTTTTTTTTTTTTTAAATTCAAAAGTAAAACCGTCTATGTGACATTTAAAACAAAAATTTTAAATAAATTATTTAACGAAATAAAATTTAAACATTGACGAAATATATATATTTTTTAAAAATGAAAAATCAAAAAGAAAAAAAACCGTTAAAATAGTAATAGGAATAATAACAAAACACCTCTTCGTGCAATTTTACGATGACGTCATACACTTTGAATTTACTCCCGTTCGAAAATTGTCGCAAAATTGCAAAAATCCATTGTTTACCTTTTACCTTTTTACTTTCAACGTATGAAATTACGCGGATTGTTTCGTTAACGTTTTTTTTTTTAATAGTTTTAATCGTTTTTAATCGTTTTTTACGAAAAATTAATCGTATTGTAATTAAAAATATCGTTATTTAAGTTATTTTTAATATAATTACACGAGAAAAATATAATATTGATATAATTAAACGCTTAATAATGATAATGATGATGATTCGTAATGTTTTAAATCGCGAGTGCATTATGGCGTGTTATATAATTTCAATTATTAAAGGATTTAATTGTTTTAGATTTAAAAAAGAATTATATATTAAAGGAAGGATTAAAGAAGGTTAAAATTTTTTTTATATAAATAATAATAATAAAATAAAATCTACACTACTACTAATACCAACATCTGGTTAGTTAAACATGAAGAATTTTTTCATTTTGTATTTATTTCTTTTTGTTGTTGTAGAATAGAATATGAAGAAGAGATAGAATAAGAAATAAAGAAATCAAAGGACCGCCTTCACCGACTCCTCCTCCTGTTAAATTTATGGGATTTTCTTATAATATATAAAAAAAAAAAAAAACAGGTGCTCATTTACCCCTCGTAAAAATATTAGGGTGTTGTAATAATTATTAAATATTGAAAAATATATTCAAAATGATTTTTAACTGCAATTATAATTTAATTATTTTAATTATATGAAATTATTAAACGTTTTTCATTTGTCAATAAAAATATATCAATATCATCTTGTTTTATAATATGGAAACAGCCATTTAATTAATGACAGTCATTTAATTAAATTATTTTAAATTTGTTTAATTTTCCCTTATTAAATACTTTTAATTTATTAAATTATTTATAATTTTTTCTTTTCGTTATTAATATCGAAAAATTATTATTATTAAATTAAATATTATGCTTATTAAATTTATAACGAATTATATTAAAAGTAAATAATATTATTAATAAAAAAAAAAAATTAAAATTGTATTTTATTAATATTGATCAAAAAAATATTTTTCTCATTTAGTGTAATAATTTTATTATTATTTACTTTAAATAATTTAAAATATTATTTATTTATTAATTTTATTTATTATTAATTTATCATTATTTAGCAGAAGTCATTTAAAAAAAAAAAAAAAAAAATTTGAATCGACAAAAATAATTTCGATTAAAAAATTTTTTTTTTTTTTTTTTTCATTCGTATTATTTGCAGTTAAAATTTAATTAAATAAATAAATTATAATTACTTACCTTATTAAATAATTATTTGAATTTAAAAAAAAAAAAAACGACACGAATAATTTTAAATTGAAAAAAAAAAAAAAAAATTCAATCCGTCATCGCGAAAAACTTTTGATCGAATGATTATAATTTTCATACTTGATAAGTTGGCTGCACTTAAAATTCCGCGCCAATTTTTTGTTTACGTTAAAAATGGCGGATCAAAATGGTGGACACCTATATATATATATACTTGTATCCCTCATAATGAATACAGGAAATAAATTTTTGAAATAAAGTGTTCGAGTTAATAAATAATTTAATATTTAAATAAATAAATAAATAATTTTTTTTTTTTTTTAATTAAATGATAATTTTAAACATGGTAAAAAAAATATATATTTTTTATATTGACAAAAACAATGTACAAAATCAACTGTAA